CAATTTTTTTGGGGTTAAGCCGAAGAAGGAAGAGTTAGGCAAGAATGATGAATTGCAGCCGTAGAATCGATGGAGATGATGAATTGCAGCAACATAATGGGGTTAAAGTAGTGGGTGTTGGGGATTAAGCCGCTGGCGTGGGATTGCATTTGAAAAATTGGAGGAATTGGAGGAATCGATGGAGATGGAGATGGAGATGGAGATGATTGCAGAAGAAGTGAAAAAAAGCAGGGGTCACCACCGATGGAAAAGATGAATTGCAGTGGAATCGAAGGATTCGGAGGAGTCGATGGAGATGAGAGGCGATGGAGAAGGAATTGGAGATAGAGATGGAGATGATTGCAGAAGAGGTAAAGGCAAAACGGAGGGGTTGGGATTAGAGAACGACGTCGTTTTGGGTTAGGACTCCAAATTTTTTTAAGAGGTAGGACTGATGGCCACTTTACCTTATTATATAATATATTAAATCGAATGAGTGTGTCAATCAATATCCTAACTTTAATTACTCATTTATCATAAAAAAATTTGTTTATTTTTATTTCTCTATTTCTTTTTTAAGGATAATATAGCTAAAAACATATATTGTTTTTAAATTTTTAATTTAAAGATAAATTAAAGAAACGTATATTATTATGAGATAGAGGGGCTAATATGCTTACACCATTTTATATTCAAAGAAATAAATAATTTTCTTATACTATGTAATTACTATATATATATATATAGATTGTTGGGCAAAACTTAATTAGGACTTATTTTAAAAGTAAATTCTTTTATTACAAATTTAAAAATTTATTAGAAGGAAATTTAAAATTTTACTTTTAAAGTAATTTTTAAATAAATTTTGAAAAAATTTAAATGTACAGCCTTTTAAATACCAAATTAACCAAATTATATAAAAATTTTAAACTATAGCAATTTTGGTTAATTTTGAATATAATACCAACCCAAATTAAACTTAAAATTTTCAATTAATTAGCACTAATTTTTTCTGAATAAGAAAAGGGTTCAATTACATAAAAGATATACTTTTTTAAATAAATCAAAATATATCAATGTGGAGTGCGCCGTGCGCTCTCATGTCCCTTTACAATCTCTACATAATGATAATTTTCTTTCACGAGGAACACACCAAGTCTAGAAAATGCCAAGCTTAAATAATAGGAAAATAATTAATACATTCCTTTCTTTAATCTACTTTATAATATTTATTCAATTTAGTTGTTAAAATATAATATAAAACAATTGATTAAGTTGATTTCTATATACTGTATATATTACTACAATTTTAAGTTTATTTATTTTTAATTTTAGACTAAAACATAATATTTTTTAATAAATATATCATATAATATGTTAAAATTAAAAGATATATTAATCAATGTAAAAGACACTTCCATCAAGCCAATCGAAAGTTCTTCTCTGGATCATTTCAAAAACTAAGTCCTCTCATCCCAAGAGATGATGTAGAATGGAATTCCTCATAAACCAAATTGACCTGACGGAACAAAGAAAATAAAATACCAAACCTCCGTGCGGATGTAGTTCTGAACTCCAGTGCAGTGTCTCTCACTGAGTTAATGGACAGTTGCTGGAGGTGTGAAGTTGAGACCCCACCATCTGTAGCCCCTTTTCCATAACTCTTGTGTCTTATTGCATTTAATAAATAGGTGATCAACGCATTCCATCCTCTAAGCGAAGAAGACACAACAGGGCCTCATTGTCTAATGAAATGCCCCTACTATGAAGCCTAGCTTTTGTACGAAGGCTGTTCAATAACAAACACCACCAAAAGCTACTTACTTTTGTGGGGAGTAGTTACTCCATAACCCGTGCATTGTTGTTTATCCAAAATTCTTGTGTTATTACATAACAACCGATAGCCTTCCTTAGAGGAGCACTCCGAAGCTTTTCCAGCAATCCAGCATCTCTAATATTTTGCATTCTCCTTTGGGACGCAATCTTCAATAATATCCAACAAATTTGATTCCTCAACTGAATCCCTGCCAAAAAAGAACGACGCCCAGCTAAATTCCAAGACCATGATCCGTTAGACCATGCAGGCTCCCAGATGGATTACTAGGCTGTCCTTGTTGCTAGATAGATTGTACAACCTGAGGAATATTACTTTTAATGGCTCTCTACTCCCCCATGTATCATGCCAAGACTTTTTAATTTTATCACCGTTCCCTAACTCTATCTAAAACCATCAGCATATATCTTCTTACCCCCACCCTTACACAGGAGGTATTTGATTAATTAGCACTAACCAAGTATTTCAGCTTGGTTAACCTAACCAAACCAAACCAAACATCCACTCCTAGCTACATCAACCACCGTTTGAAAATAGGCAAGACTTGGATGCTATATCTTCATATTGTTATGAAGTACCGTGCGTAGACTTCTTAAATCTGAAGAAATAAATGATTTCCTTGATAATAAATAATTTTTTAGATGTAATTAAAATAGTCTCTTGGGACAAATTTTTATTTTTATTTTTTGTATTATTTACTTTAAACTTTTTTTTTAATCAAAAGAGACCAACATCATTACTAGAACTTGTATCGTAACTATTGGGTTGATAATTATGGAAATACTAAACCAAAGAAACTAGTATAAACCATGCATCTCCGAGTATTTATTAGTACGATATTTTAATAAAATTTTTTTTTATAATTTTATCATTAAACCTCCTAACTTTAATAATTTATTTTTACATAAAAAAGCCTGATTGTTTATATATTTTATTTTTTAACTTTTTTTGTTATTTACTTTAAACTTTTTTTAATTAAAAAAGACCAATATCAATACAGAAACTTGTATTACATTTTTCTATCCCAAAATAATTGTCATTTTTTAATGTTAAGTTTGTCTTAAATTAATTATTATTTTTTATTTTTTAATCATAGAGAAAATTTTCTTTTTTTTTAAACCTATTATTATCTATTTATTTTAATTAATTATCTTATCACAAAAAATATCTTTTTATCTTTTTATTTTTTCTTAAAGATAATATAGTTAAATATATGAATTGACTTTAAGTCTTTAATTTTTAATTTTTAAAAAAATGATAATTATTTTATAATAAAAGAAGTAATCAATTTAAACAAAAATATATTAGTAATTACTATAATAAAAAGGGTTGCATCAACGTGATAAATATGGAAGTACTAAACCAGAGAAACTAGTATATGCCATGCATCTACAAGTGTAGGGGAATCTTTTAAAATCTAGCTCGATAACCGATCAATTTTGGCCGCTGAGTCCAGTTGCACCAATTGGACTGGTTAAATTGGTCTGTCCAAACCAGTTGATTTAAGAATTATCATCAAATTAATTTTATTAATTATAAAATTATTTTTTTAATTAATTTTATTTTTAAAATTCATGACATTTTCAAGATTGACTTCAAATTAATTTTAATCATTAAATTTATTAAATTACCTAATATATTCTAAAATATTAATATGATATTTTAGCTTCAGTTAAAAAAATTTGATATTATATTAATTACAGTATAAAATTATTTTTTTCTTTTATTGGTTTTATTTTCAAAATTACTTGACATAAGTTCTAATTTCAAATTGATTTCATTTATTTCATTGAATAAAGTAACCATTTATTTTATTTCTAAAATTAGATTGATTTTATTTTAATTTAATTTCATTCTTTAACTTAAAATAGTAATTTAATTTCAAATTAATTTTCCTTTTTAAAATTGGTTCAAATTATATTTTAATTAATTTAAAAATGTTCATTCATTACTAGTACTTTAACTTTAAATAGATTTTACATTTTAATTAATATACTATCTATAAAATAAATACATAAGAGATTAAAGAAAAATTAAAAAAGTAAAATTGTAAAAAGAAAAAAGGAAAAAAAATGAATTAATTTGTGTTGATAGGGTTTAATTAGTTTTGACTGAGTTTGA